GTTAGATAAAATGATTTATCCATGAGCCAGCCCAGTCAGTACTTGGGTACTAGTATACTGGTAATAATTATTGATATAATAATCTTTTCTAAACTGATTTGAAATAAATTCACTTTCTTACTGTGTATACTGTAACAGAAGTTTTGATGTCTAAATCTGCCAATTAAAGTTCATATATTAGTTGGAAAAAAGAATGTGGAAACCAAACTGCTTGTAGCAGTTTAAGTTTCTGATAAGATTTTATACTTTTTACTTATTTCAAATCAATGTTTTCAATTACACAGTGACTTACATAACATGCATTGCTATTTTAGAAATAACTGTTCTTTCAATTTTTACATTTTGCTTAGATGGAAAACTATCCATTGTGTACACTGAATTGACAGGCACTTTTAACTGCTGGACCTCAGATACTGTCTGATGTTGAACAGCATAATTGTGAATATACACTACAGGTTGTTATATATAGTCATACAAATTTCAAAATTTTATATGCTTTAATTAAAAAATAGTTATTCTCCTAAATATGCTTTGTAAATAACTAGTATGTATTACCATTAAATCATCCAAATGTTTTCATCTAAATGTTAAATTTTTCAGATATTGCTTAGATTTTTATGCTGTAAAGTGGGTGTGGGTGACCATTGACCAACCACTGACCCATTAATGCATGGTAATATGCCCTCTTTAAAAAAGTAAACTTGAACATCTTTTGGATTCGGGCTATGGTACAATAGCTTTGTATCTTACTTCTTCCAAATTGAATGAAAGTAAATTTCACTTCCTGACTCCTTATAATAGTAAGTTTTCACTTCCATTTTGAATTGAAGTTATATAATATGCAAGTAGTAAGAAATGGACGCCAGGTTTACCATCGGCGTGTGGATTGACGTGTGGATTGTTTGTTTGTTTGTCTGTCTGTTTGTTTGTTTGTTTGTCTGTCTGTCTGTCTGTTTGTTTATCTGTCTGGAAATATGTAGGGAGGAGCAAGAGCAGCCATAGTTACCCCTCCCCTC